CACGCAGCTGCCCGCTCGGAAAGGAGTGCCCTGCCGGGGCCGCGCAGAGAGGGCGTCTGCAGTGCATCGCGCTGCGGCTGGGCTTTCCGCGCGACTTCTTCCTCCAAGCCCGGAGTCGCAAGTCGGGCTGCACGTCGGAGGCCCTCGACCAGGCTCGCCACGCCGTGGCAGCGCAGTGTGGGCCCGTGGCCCCCCTTGCGTACCTGGTTGGGCTGTGGGGGTGGCAGAGAGGCTTCTTGCCCGACACCCCGACTCCCGACGTGGCCTGTGGCGGACTCTCAGCCGCGGGCCCCGCCTTCGTCGAGCGCCTGGCCGGGAGAGCGATTGAGGAGATCGCCTGCGCTGGTTCACATCAGCTTTCGCTAGAGGCCATGGTCCGTTCCACTATCTTCAAAGGATCGGACGTCAGGATTGCCACGGCCTCCCTGTGCGACCCCAGCAGCTGGCCGCGCAGAGGCATCCCTGCGGCCAGGTGGGATTGGATGACCTGCCAGGCTTGGCGCTGGCGCGACGCCGAGCATATCAACGATTTCGAGCTGCGCGCCGTGCTCAGCAGCGTCCGGTGGCGCCTGCGGAGCAGCATGCAGATAAATTCGCGCTTCGTTCACATCTTGGACTCGCAAGTGTGCATCAGAGTGCTGTGCAAAGGGAGGTCTTCTGCCCGGGGCCTCCAAAATATTCTTGCCCGCATCGTCTCGTTGCTGCTCGCTGGTAGTCTTCACCCGCACTGGGTCTATGCGAGGTCGGCGGACAACCCCGCCGACGCGCCATCGCGATGGTAAAGCATTTGGAGGCCGCCACGGCCAAGCAGCGACAGCAGAGACGACGAGCAGCGGGCACTTTACGAGAATTACAGATCCAGCCGCGCACCCTCAAGCGGTACAAGCACGCGGTCAATGCCTTTTTCGACTGGCTCGGACGGGAGCGACCTGATATATTGTCTACCCGACACATTGCACGCCCGCTCAGTGCGGATGCCGTCGACGAGGCGGTTGCTGACTATTTGGAGGCGCTGTGGGACGACGGATCGTCCCGCAGTTTGGCCGCCGACACCCTCTCGGGGCTTCAGCATCTGGTGCCGAGCCTTCGGCGCGAGCTCAAGGAGGGCTGGCGCCTGCTCCGCACGTGGGATCAGAATCAGATGCCCAGCCGCGCCCCGCCGTTACGACCGGAGGTGGCGATTGCCTTGGCGGGCTTTGCGCTCGCCGACGGCCGCGAGGATGTTGCCACTGCAATCCTGGCGGGCTTCAACGGCTTGTTGCGCCCCTCCGAGATGCTCATCTCTGCGGGGGACTGCGTCTTCGACCACAGCCAGCGCACGTGCGTGGTCAACCTTGGGCTTACTAAAGGCGGGAAGGCAGGGGTGCCCTGAGGACGTCTTCATCGATGACGAGTTCGCCTACTTACTGCTCCGCCGGGCGCTTGCAGGGTGCGCAGCTGGCACTGCCCTCCCACCGAGGGGTCTTGCCAATTTTCGCGCATCTTTCGCCAGCTACCTTGGCAAGGCGGGCCTCGACCCCAGCAGAATAAAGCCCTATAGCATCCGCCGTGGCGGCGCCACCCACCATTTCTCTTCGCTCGGCAACGTGGCGCTGACCTGCGAGCGAGGCCGCTGGCGCTCCAGAGCGACAGCCAAGATTTATATCACAGAGGGGGTGGCTGCCCTAGAAGCCGTCGCGGTCACCAAGCAGCAGCGGGCAGCTTTGGCCTTGGGGCATCAGTTGTTCCACAGGCACATTGAGCGCATCTTGGACGGTGGCAAGTAAATTCAGTCACGCCCTCGGCAGAGTTTTTGGCTTTCTGGGGAACGACTTCGCCAGACATGGGTTGCGTGAGCATGCGCGGCACCGACAGCCTGCCCTTTGACAACATCCCGCCCCTAGTGGCGGAGGCCGGCCATGCGCGGCGGCTGCAGGGAGCCCGTCCCTAGCGGCGGAGGCCGGCCACGCGTGGCGGCTGCAGGGAGCCCGCCCCTAGTGGCGGAGGCCGGCCAAGATTGGCGGCTGCTGCTGACCCGCGCTCCGGGCCGAGGGGCTCGAGGGCCGTTGGCCTGGGTCGCCGAGCCGAGGGGGCTCGAGGGCCGAGGCCTGCTTGCGGCATCTCCGGGCCTAGGGCTCGAGGGCCGCTGGCCTGCGCTGTCAGCAGCACGGTGCCGCGCGCGCGACGTCGCACACAGCGGTGCGGCGCGCCAGCGCTCGGATGAAAAGATCCGCGCGCGCTCGCTGTGCTAGAGTATCGCCCTCGACATGTAGCACGCGAGCAGCATCAGGATCGTTCGTTCCATAGCTATCTTGGGTCCCGCCCTCACCTCCCTCAACATGCAGGTCCTTTCCTACAGCATGCGCGGCACCGACAGCCTGCCCTTTGACAACATCCCGCCCCTAGTGGCGGAGGCCGGCCATGCGTGGCGGCTGCAGGGAGCCCGTCCCTAGCGGCGGAGGCCGGCCACGCGCGGCGGCTGCAGGGAGCCCGCCCCTAGTGGCGGAGGCCGGCCAAGATTGGCGGCTGCTGCTGACCCGCGCTCCGGGCCGAGGGGCTCGAGGGCCGTTGGCCTGGGTCGCCGAGCCGAGGGGGCTCGAGGGCCGAGGCCTGCTTGCGGCATCTCCGGGCCTAGGGCTCGAGGGCCGCTGGCCTGCGCTGTCAGCAGCACGGTGCCGCGCGCGCGACGTCGCACACCGCGGTGCGGCGCGCCAGCGCTCGGATGAAAAGATCCGCGCGCGCTCGCTGTGCTAAAAATGTCTCAAAAAGGTAGAAACATAGTTTAAAAACAAAAATAGTCCCCAGACTATAGTTTAATTAGTTGTTTGATTCTTTTGGTGCATTAAAAAAAAAAACAAAACAAAAAAATCGTCGAAAACCCATGTAGGGGGACGCGCCCGACTTAACGCTGGCGTCCTCGCGACGTGGACCTGCCAACTGTGTCGAGGTTCCCCGTGGCCTGTGCTCGGGGTGTGTTCCCCCCTCTCAGGCAGGGAGAGTTGATGTGTCAGGATCGGGTCGGAGCCTCCCGCCGAAGTCGGGAGGCAAATGCCCGGGCGTGTGATTGTGATTCGGCGTGCCCCGCCTCGCAGCGGCCTGCCACACACAGAGGTAGAATACGTAGCACCCCGCAGTTGCGGATAAGAGTGGCGGGGGGCTGCGGGAACGTCTGCAGTCTGCGAGGCTCTGAAGAAGCCCGCCGTAGGCGCACAATTTTCAAGCTATCCAACGAGCCCGCCGCAGGCGCCGCTTTTCCTGTTAAAACAATGTAGGTGGGTCGAGGATTGGGTCGCAGGTGGGTCGCGGGTGGGTCGACGGTGGGTCGCGGGTCAAGTCGCGGGTGGGTCTCGAGCGGGTCTCGAGCGGGTGGCGGGGTGGGTCGCGGGGTGGGTCGCGGGTGGGTCGCGGGGTGGGTCGCGGGTGGGTCGCGGGCGGGGTCGCGGCGGGGGCGACGCCAGCAAACAACAACAACAACAACAACAACAATTACTAGCACGTGGGGACACTCCGTTCTCACCAGTGCCAGGGTTTTCATACGACGCCCGCCAATACCCCCACTTTGTGGGGGGGCCGGTTCAAGCTCTACCACATTTCCAAACGACTCTTCGCCACCACCCACACCCAGCTTCCCGCCCTATGACGTTCGGACACTTCACTTCGTGGCCTGCGGACGACCGTGGCTACTACACTGGCGCATGGGTCTGAGAAGGACCTGACGTGCGGACAGCGCGCGCGGGTAGAAATTTTGAAAATTCGTACAGATGTTTTTCGAGGACCGACGGTGCGATTCGTATGATTTTATGTTGCGCGGTGCTAAAATTCCTAAGAAACCCAATGGTTTTTGAAGATTTCGGCGTGCGCGCGCGAAGAAAAAACGAATGTGTCCCGCATGGTATTATTTGACAGGGATGATGGCCCTGGCAGGTGCGCAACCGTTGTTGGAGAAGTTCGAAAAAGTTGCTCGCAAAAGCCCGTTTGACAGAAATGTTTAAAAAGTGTTGGGTTTCCTACGAATCCGCAAGAGCGCGCGGGATGAAATTTTGACAATTTTTTTTTTGAAAAACCATTGTTTTTTTTGATGTTTTTATGTTAAAATCGCTACGAAAACTAAGGTTTTGGAAGGATTTCGTCTTGCGCGCGCGAATGTCCACTTTACCTTATTTTTTGCAAGGGATTCTTGAAATTTGGTTATATTAGAACAAGAAATGTCATTTTATAGTGTTTTTTGCAAGGGAAAGCGGGGGGAACAAAACAACCGGATCCGACCACATCGTTTTACCTGAGGCTTCCTCACGAAAATGATGAAAACGTGGCTGCGGCCTAGGCGGCGAGGGGGCCCGTGCACCAGGGGCCCCAACAATAATTATTATTTAGAAGTAATAAGTTCAACAACAACAACAACAACAACAATCACTTTACCCGAACGCTCAGTGTTCTCACCAGTGCCAGGGTTTTCATGCGACGCCAGCCAATACCCCCACTTTGTGGGGGGGCAGTGCAAGCTCTACCAAATATCCACACGACTCTTCGCCACCACCCACACCCAGCTTCCCGCCCTATGACGTTCGGACACTTCACTTCGTGGCCTGCGGACGACCGTGGCTACTACACTGGCGTGGAGTACACACCCACAGAAGTTGTTAAGCCTACGTTCGTACACCCACAGAAGTTGTTAAGCCTTGTTAACCCACAGAAGTTGTTAAGCCTTCCACAGAACATCTGGTGCATATGATGCAAGCGTGCGAAAGTAGCTCGCGCGAGCTCATGTAACATAAATGTTGGAAAACCATTGGTTTTTTTAGGAATCGGACAGCGCGCGGGTAGAAATTTTGAAAAGTCGTGCAGGTGTTTTTCGAGGACCTGCGGTGCGATTCGTGTGATTTTATGATGCGCGGTGCTAAAATTCTTAAGAGCCCAATGGTTTTTGGAGATTTCGGCGTGCGCGCGCGAAGAAAAAACGAATGTGTCCCGCATGGTATTATTTGACAGGGATGATGGCCCTGGCAGGTGCGCAACCGTTGTCGCAGAAGTTCGAAAAAGTTGCTCGCAAAAGCCCGTTTGACAGAAATGTTTAAAAAGTGTTGGGTTTCCTACGAATCCGCAAGAGCGCGCGGGATGAGATTTTGACATTTTTTTGTTGAAAAACCATTGGTTTTTTGATGTTTTTATGTTAAAATCGCTCCGAACACTAAGCTTTTGGAAGGATTTCGTCTTGCGCGCGCGAATGTCCACTTTACCTTATTTTTTGCAAGGGATTCTTGAAATTTGATTATATTAGAACAAGAAATGTCATTTTATAGTGTTTTTTGCAAGGGAAAACGGATTACAACAAAACAACCGGATCTGGACCCCATCCACTTTTCTGAAGCTTTCGCGAAAAAATGATGAAAATGTAGCTGCGGCCTAGGCGCGGCGGGGGGGCCGTGCACCAGGGGCCCCAACAATAATTATTCTTTAGAATTAATAATGTTCAACAACAAGAACAAGAACAAGAACAAGAACAAGAACAACAAACACAACAACAACAACAACAGCAGCAGCAGCAACAACAACCGTAACAACAATACCAGCAGCAACAACAACACCAACACCAACACCAACACCAACACCAACACCAACACCAACACCAACACCAACACCAACACCAACACCAACACCACCAACAACAACAACAACGCAACAAACAGAATCCTCAGCACGGATCCGCATTACAGCCACGCAACCAGGGACAAATAATGACAGTTCGGCCCCCTGACTCTGATAATAGACGTGGACCTGCCATATGAGACGTTCCAAAAAGGGCCTTGCCTTCAAGTATCGAAGGAGTTGCCCTTTCTTCCTCGGCGAAAGGGCGGCGGAAGGGCGGCGTAAGATCGGCGGAAGCAAAGCGAGGCCGCCTCCACCGGCGGAAGACGGCGGAAGGCTGGCGGAAGATCGGCGGAAGGCGGCGGAAGCGCAAGATGCGCCCCCAAGAGATGAACACTTTTTTAGGTTCAGGGTTTCTGAAATCGCCCATATGTTTGGAAGCCCAGCTCAGCCCAGTTGTAGGAGGATACGCCGGTATTCGTCGAGGGCATGGCTTTGTCTGGGGTCTCAGTTGATCGCAAAGCACAAGGCACAATCAGGGATCCACACTCTATACCAGCCACCCTATCGCGAGATTTACTTCCTCGGGGTATGTTTTTTCAAGTGGGTGTTTTCTCCGACCTGTGTTGTGTTGTACTGACTGTTTGGGATCGGGCCTCACGCGGAGAAAGCGAACGGCTCGGCATCGACAAGACACTGCCGATGGGAGAGGTGGAGTAGGATAGGGCGACGAGGTCTGTCCATGTCCGCTGCTCTTCGGCGCAGGGTGGGGGGCCTGGCCGGGGGCTGACAGTGGCTATGTACAGATCCCGTCGCCTTGTGGGAGAAAAGGCGAGCCCGCCGAGACCGCAAGCCGAGGGCTTTGTGCCTCGGGGGGCGGGCACTCTGAATTTCCTTGTCTGCATGGTCCAGCGGCGCCTTGTCCAAGACCTCTCCCTCCTCAGCATCATCATTGCATTGCTCCCCCCCTTCGGGAGGGCGCGTGCAACAGCCCTGTTGGGAGTTGAGCGAGGAGGATGAGGAGGGATGGGGAGGAAGCGAGTAGGAGCGATGATGATGAGGAGGAGGACGATGATGAGGAGGATGACGATGATGATGCTGATGATGATGATGATGATGAGGATGATGATGGTCATGATGATGATGAGGAGGAGGGGAAGGACGGAGGGCATGGGCAGTCGGAGGAAGCGGGAGGAGGGAGGCTGTCTGGTTCTTGCGTGAATTGCGTGGGCATGCCGCGTCAAACCATTCGTTATACTCAGGTGCACAAGAGATGTGGGGAAGGTGCGCGGTATGTTCTCGAGCTCCCTGGACAAGCATCCACAGAGATGCGTACGCACAGGAACGGTGCGCAACAGCAGCTCGCTACGATGTCATGTGTCACACCATGCAATACTACCCCCCAGAAATCTTGGGGACACCTTGGGCCAAGGACACCGTCGGCCAAAAAGTAGGACACAGACCACCGACATCATGATGTGCTCGTAACGTCGACACCCAGAAGTTTCGACACGTTCCCCGGGACCTGTTTTTCATCCCGAGTCGTTTTCTGATAGTCCTGGGGTCTGGTCGGGCTTCCCAGAGGCCGAAAACAGCGAACACTTGCTGCCGTGATTTTGTGTCATGATCCGAAATGTCACGTCCGGGGGTCCATCCAAATAGTTTTTGTTCACTGCCTCGGGGCCCGGAGACGGCCTCGGCGAGGCCGAGGAAGTCAGACATTTTCCCCCGAACCCAGGATTTCGAACCTGCCCGCCCTTCCTGCTGGCCGGAACCAGTCCTGGTCCACCTCGGACCCCCATGACGGCTTCAACGTTCCCGAGGCCCGGCCGTCGTGGGACGACCGAGGGCTTGGGGAATGATCCTGGGAGGCTCCGTTAAGGAGGAGGGGGAGGAGGGGGAGGAGGAGGAGGAGGAGGAGGAGGAGGAGGAGGAGGAGGAGGAAGAAGAAGAAGAGGAAGCAAGCCTTTGGAGGTGTGGGTCGGCGCCGCTGCGCCTCCGTGCCCCCCCACCCGTGCCGCCAGAGGCCCAGCAGCGCTACCAGGCCTGCTCTGGCGGGCTCGGGCGCGAGGTCCGCCAGCGCCCGTGGCATTTACGACAGGTGCTCCGGGGCGGGGGGTACACATCCTGATCGGGGCTCAAGAGACGGGAGTCAATGCAAACGGGGGTCAGCCAGAGCGCCCGATGTTGCAGGATCCTGCAGGGCCAGGGTCGCATTGACCCGGGTTGGGGTGCAGGATTCTGCAGGACCTTGCGGGATTTTTCGCGTTGACCCGGGCTTGGGTGCAGGATCTTGGAGGGCCTTGCAGAATTCTGCAGGGTTTGACTGAACCGGGTCTGGATTGACCCGGGTAAGAAGACCCCTGACCTGGAGGGCTGAAGGTCTGGGCGAGAGCTAGCTTCCACTTCGCGTAAAGAGTGCCCCTTCGCCAGAGCGACCTCTGGTGCGGGCTCATCGGGGCCCCTCCGATCGCCGAGCGCGGTGCGGCAGCGGCTGCTTGCGCGCTTGGATTTGGCCACCCAGCGCCCCCGCCGCCCGCGCACCAGAGCTCGCTCTTTCCCAGGGTCACTCCTGCGAGCAGCCGGTGGCTACACATCCGGCAGGCTTCTGGCGGCACTCTGCAGCGCCTCGTGGCCGTCTGGGGGCCCGAGGTGGCCCAGCATCGTGGACCGCCGACGTCGCCGATGCATCGTCGATGCATCGGCGATGCATCGGCGACGTGGCGCGATCTTCCGACTCCATCTGCTCGGACCCCGTCTGCTCTGCCAGGCGCCAGGAACCCAGAGCTCCTCGATCAGGAGGGGAAAAAGCACGCAGACACAATCAATCGTCGAGTCCCCGGAAAGTATGGGAAAGTAGGGGAAGTGGGGGGGGGAAGACAAAAACCCAGAGCATATGGGAAAATATTGGGAATCCTGTTATTTGTGTGTATTTATTTGTGTGTCCCAGGGCCCCTTCAATCACGGCGGGAGGTTTTTTCGCGATTTCCAGCCTCTGGGGGCCTTTGCCAAGTCTCGGGGGCCAGCAGGCGGGGCGGGCAGTTTCGAGGTGCTGGGGGCGGGGAGGTTTTTTTTTTGCCTTTTTTTTCCCGCCGCGGGGGGCCGTCTTCGGGCCGTCTTCGGGCTTCGCCTTCTGTCAAGACCAGCCTCCGTCGCTGTCGCGTCGCGCGAGGGGCGTGGGAAGCGAGCTGCACTGTGTGTGTGCCGCGGCCGGGCGGTCGCCGTGGCACCGCTGGCCATGCCAGCATGTGCAGTCTTATGCACTTTCCAATATTCAGGAGGAAAAGAAACACACAGACACAATCAATCGTCGATTCCCCCGAAAATATAGGAAAATATGGGAAGTGGGGGCGAAGACAAAAACACAGAAAATATATGGAAATATGGGGAATATTTTTACGTGTGTGTCTTTATTTGTGTGTCCCAGGGCCCCTTCAAATATGTCTGGCCACCACCCCGTCGCCGCGGGAAGTTTCGGAGCCGAACGCACTGTCTACCTGTCGCGGCCTCGCCGGTCGCTGTCGCGCCCTCCTGCGTGGTTATGCATTGTCCATCTGTCTGGACCCCCCCCCGTCGCCGTCGCGCCAGAAGAAGTGCGTGCGGCACATGTTTGAATTTAACTTGTCCACTGCGCGCCCATCGCACATCGCGTCACTCATGTGATTGATGTCTTAAAAGATCCGTGCGGCGACATTTCGTTTTGGCGCATCTGTTCGCGACGTACCCGTCGCCGCCGCTCTGGGGAGATCACGGGTGCTGGAACTCAGTCATTTTGCACAAATGTGCTTCACTCCAATGTTACTCCATTCCGCACCCGCTCGTCGTAATCTTACCCATCATCACCATCATCAGCAGCATCAACACCGATTTCGTCGTGACATTTCTCATCTTCATTCTCGTCCTCATCTTTGTTATGATCGTGCACGGTGTTTGTTCCCGGACAACCGAGTTTCTTCAGACCCCGAGGTATCTACGCCTTCCCCGAGGCCATCTTTTTCATCGCATCCATGTTTGACGGCCCAGGGCCCCGAATCGGAAACAGCTCTCAGAGGCCGCATCGAAGAAAGGATGTCTGAGTGGTCCCCCATATTTTGCCCAGATCTCTTCGCTTGGCGAAGACCTTGCGCCAACTGATCACCTCCGACGTCGTGATGTATTCAACCCCAGCGTCTTCCCTCCACTTCGGGCCCGAGGCGACCGATCTCTGGGAAGAGCTGGCCCCCAGTATCTCGGGAGGGAAAAAAAGTGTACCAATGGCACGTCGTCGCTGGGCGCGCGTGAACGTGCCATTCCTTCGCTCTTGTGCTCAGAGGAGGGAGCATCGGCCGTGCTCCCCCAGACCTCGTCGTCGTGAGTTCTGGAGTCGGTTGTGTTCCTCCTCTGCCTGGAGCTCCCGAGGCCGTCTTGGGGGCACCGGTGCCGTCACAGAGACGACCCGCGACGGCGGCCGATCACTGCTGTGCAGCCAATTCCCAGGTGACGGCGGAAGCCGGTTTTTGTGATGGGCCTGTTTTCTACCACCATAAGTTGCAGGGGGGAAGGAGGAGAGCGAGGAGGAGGAGGAGGAGGAGGAGGAGGAGGACAAAGAGGAGGAGGAGGAGGAGGAGGAGGAGGAGGAGGAGGACGAGGAGGAGGAGGAGTTGGAGTTGGAGGAGGAGGAGGAGGAGAAGGAGGAGGACCCCATCCCCCCCCAACTTCTGGTGGTGGGTGGTGGTGGAAAACAGGCCCATCATTGTGGGGTTCCCACATGCTCAGAATGCGCGCGGCAGAAAAGACGCGTCGATCGAGCTGTTGGTTGGCTTCGTTCCTGGGGGCGCCCAGCTTCTCTCGAAGCGGCTGGCCAGCGCACGGAGGGCACAGCGTCGGGTGCATTTTCATGCTCTGGCTTTCGGTCTCGTTTGACCGATCCCCATCCCCATCCCCATCCCCTTCGAGACCCCGACCACATTACCGCCTCGTTGGGGGTGCACCCCTCGAAGCCCGAAGGGAACGACCTTTATCCCCATCCAGGGGGGTGAATCGGCCAGTGGGGCCCAGGCCACGCCGCTGGCGATGGGGATCGGATAAACGATACTCAGGTATCCCGCCACGTTGTTCTTTTGTCCACGACGCCACATGTCGGGGAGTGTTCCGCCTTCTCCCTCCGTCTTCACTCAGAGGAGCAAGCACATACCGATAGCGCGATCCCTCCGTCGTCAGCTCCGCGGCTTGATTCGAGTGGAAATCCTGGGATGAATTCGCCCCGGGTGAGGTCCGGGGACAGCGGTACCGTTGTTGGATTCCCACATTTGCAGTTCGAGCTGTGGGATAGTTTCGTCGTAGGTTTGCCTTGCAGGTGCGCCGCCCGGGCGCAGGAGAAGCAGCAGAAGGTGGATCGGCTACGCCAGGACACGGGGGAGGGCATCCGACCTAGTCGGGCAGCACAAGGGACGTGGAGGGGGTGTGAGGGAGGGACGGGGATGGGACGGGAGTAAAGGGAGTGGAGCGAAGGGGGATAGAGAGAGAGAGAGAGACAACATACACACATATATATATACACAAATATGAACATGTCGTCGTTCGCGCCGCTCTCCAAGCGTCAGGGCGGCTGTTTTCTTTGCAGCTTTGCTCAGAAGTGGCGGTGTCACAAACTGGAGCGACTTTACAGTGAGGCTCCTGAGACAGGGTCCAGTTCGGGTTCGGAAGGGGCTCGGTGGTTTCTTGGGTCTGCTGGCGTTCCAAAAAAGGGGCTCGGCCGTTCCTTACATATGTATGATTTGATTATGATTTAAAAAACGGCTTCGTTCCTTATTTAGTGTTCCTTCTGGCAGGGGCCTGACTTTAGGATGGTGCCCGTGCCCCCTCCTTCTCCCGTGCTGGGCATCGGCTCGAAGAGCGCTCGGGCCCGTCCTCCCCCGTCCCGTGCGGGGTCCTCGTCGCCGCCTCCCGCCCTTCCCGCGGTCGTCGTCGCCGTCCTCCTCCTCCTCGCGAAGCTGTTTGCACGCGCATGCCCTACAGTCGGGGCATTGACATCAGGAACCCTAAACAATGAACGGGGCCCCTTTCTACCATAAGTTGAATTTCGATTTCCCATGGAAACCTAAGGAAAACAGAAGGCGAACTGCAGAGCAATCAAGGAGCACCGAGCCCCTCCCCAACGAAAAGGTTTCCTTCTTCAGGGCCCCGACTGTGGTTCAGCTCATGTTTTTCTCGCTGGAGGTTGGATCTCGGCCTCCAGGAGTCGGCCTTCTCGCCGACCCGCGGACAGGTTGTCTGCTAGGGGGCCACATGCGAACCCTACCCCCACCCCCCACGATTCCTGAGGGGGAGGGTGGGGTTCACTTCGCTCGTCAGCTCCCGAGCGAAGTGAAGCCCACCCTCCCCCTCCGAACTCGTGGGGGGCAGGGGCGGGGCTCGCACGTGCCCCCCCCCCTGTCCTGCGGCGCCGGTTCCCCGCGGGGCGGGCCCGGCCTGCACGCCACGGGGGCGCCTCGCCCCGCGGAGGCCTGCGGGCAGTCGGCCCTCGGTCCTACGAAGCGCCTGCGGCCAGTGGCCGAGGGGCGGGGCGCCCTCGAGCGCAGCGCGCACAGCGTGCGCGGCGCTCGCGCGGAGGGCGGGGAGCGGGCGAGGGATGAGGCTGCACCGGCTCTTGAGGCCTGCAGGAGGCTCAGAGGACCGTGGCCCAGACGCTGCCCGGGGGCGGCGGCTGCAAGTGCCACGGCACCGACGTGTCGCCGCCGGCGGTTCGCAGCGCCGACGGACGACGCCGGGGGCTGGCCAGCAACGACAGCGATGAGCTCGAGCAGCTGGCGAGCGTCATGGTAGTTTTCAGTCGGGCATGTCCCTCTACAGGAGGAATCGTCAAACATAGGTTTGAAAACATAGTATGGGAACGATGATTGATTCTTAGTGAGTTTTTTGTTGTTGCTATGTTTTGCTCCTCTGTTTCAAACAGCACATGTTTCGTCTGAAATCCCACTGTAGGGGGACAGGCCCGACCCAATGATGGTTACCTTCGCAACTAGCCTTCTGCTCGCTGTGCCGGCCCTCAGGGCCTGGTGCCTCTGCCTCGGCTTTTTGAGGCTCCCTGAGCACGTCTCCGCGCTCTTCTTTCCCGCGTTCCTTCTCCCTCCCCCCCCCCCCTGGCCTCCTCTTTGCCCTCCTATTTTGCCCTCCTCCCCCCTTGCGTTGGGCGCCAGTGCGTGTTCCGCCTGTTTGCACCGGTATGGGGCACGCGCGCGCGAGTTCACATCTGCGCCGCGATTTCATGGAGGCATCCGCGCGACAGACGCGAGAATCTGCTATTACAGTCAGCTCGTTCCGCATATTGCATAGACCCAAGACCGTTGCAACAAAATGTCCTTCCTTTTTTCGCTTGGCCTGAACTACCCGCCAGCGGAAACAGTGACAGGCGCAGTTTTGCCGAAAGATCCTTCGAGCGCCCAGCGTAAACATTGTAGGGTAATCCGCAAGTGCCGCCGCAGTTGTGCTTTCGAGTTCGGCATCGTCTCTCCCCACGCCCTGTGGTGTGATTTACCCCCTTGATCCACCCGCTGATAATACACACATGCAAAGACACATATATATATATATATATGTATATATACACATGTACATACATACGCACATATACATACATCTATATCGATATACCTATTGACATATACATATAGCTATCAAGACAAAAACAATAAGAGAGAGAGAGAGAGCACGATCGACAGACGGAGTTGCGCACTGCTGGCATAGGAGTCCACGACATGGCGAACTTAGGAGCGCAATGGTGGTCGAGGTGTGGCAGAGGCAATGGCGGTAAAGTGCATGAGGGGCAATCTCAGTTAATATACTAAGCAGTTCTGGCAGAACTGTTGGTAATCTATGTGTCAGGCATAGACATATTGTGAGTGAGTGCGGCTTCGGAAGGATACAGCATGGAGAGGAGCACACAGCGATGACCATATACAGCGATGGAAGCAGTGTTCTGAGTTGTCGAACGATGAGGGCAGGGTCCGCGACACCTAAACAGCAGGTATCGCATTGAAGAGGTGACGCCCCCCCAAACGATATTGCAACGAACACACAGACCCAGCAACAAAACCAAACATGCAGGTGCATGCGATCAAAGGATGGGCAGTGTGATGGCGAATGGGGGAACATATGTCCGCTCGCACTCAGGAGCGAAAGGTCGTTGAGAGGACGGGTAGTCCGAGTGCCTGCTCCCCCTTAAGTAATCTCGCTTCCATGTCCTCCCTTTCGTCAGCCGTTCGTGCCTTTGACTTGTTGACATCTATATGCGTGCGGGGACACTTTTGCGCGCCACGTCCATCGAGAGAATTACAAGTCACTGTTCTATCACTGAGATTTCGGGAAGGCTGCACGTCAGCTGCCCCAATGTACGTATCGGCCGTGGTACGGGTGATGCCACCTTCAAGAGAGCGCTCCCATTCTCCCCCGTATGTCGCATCTCCGATTTATAAGAGAATTCGTGCGGCGCTCGTATTTCGTTCTGTCCGTGCCTCGTCTTTTGCCGAAGTTTTCGATGGACACCGGGCCGAATTGAAGACGCCGAGTTTGTTAGCAACGGTTTGAGACTCTACCAGGAGTTGAACATGCGGAGTATGCTGCAGTGCAGTTTCCGCCCAATGACGTCGTCGACCTCCCGGAGCAGCACGCCCCGCCGGTACAGCAGCGACCACCGCATCGAGCAGGCAGCCTGCAATGTCCAGGCGCGGGGGGGGGGGAAGCAGGACCATTGTTGCATGCTGTGCTGCATCCAAGGGCTCCCTCGAGGGCGCGAAGTTATTCGCGCTTCGCGCTTCGCGGTCCTCGTTCCTTCTCCCCCTCCTCCTCGTCCTCCTATTCTCCCTTTGGGGGGGCGGCGCGAGAGCGCGAAGTTATTCGCGCTTCGCGCAGCGCGAAGCGCGAAGTTGGGAGCCCTAGGTTGTTGCATGCTGTGCTGCATCTGTGTGCCCCTTTTCCAGGGATGGCGGGTGCACCTAGGCGAGCATTTATCAGAGCCCCGAATCATCAGGGGTAACTCGGGTCAGGGATAACTCGGGTTCCTTTTTCGGGAATCCGAACCCGACTTACCCCGGACCCGAGTTACCCCGGATAACTCGGGCGTCCAGAGCCCCGAATCATCAGGGGTAACTCGGGTCAGGGATAATTCGGGTTCCTTTTTCGGGAGCCCAAACCCGAGTTACCCCGGACCCGAGTTACCCCGGATAACTCGGGCGCCCAACCTAGGCGAGCATTTAGATGCAGCGACAAATTGACGATGGAATTGTGGTCGCAATCGCGACGGCGGCCACAAGACCGGTGGCAGCATGCGGTGCACGAACAGGCACTAGGTTGCGGGCTGCCGTGAGGGTTCTTGGAGCAAGTTTTAGCACACTCAGCTTGGCTCCAGTACACACTCATGTTTTGGCACGCTCAAGTTTTGGCACACTCACGTGCAAATTCGGGCACACTCACGTTCAGGTTCGCGCACTGTGGTGACCAAGCTTGGAAGCCCGAGTTATCCGGGATAACTTCGGGCCGTGGTCATTCCGGCTTGTGGCCCTGACCCACGAAACAGGAGTTACCTTTGACCACCCCCAGCACCGATGATTCTGCAGCGGTTGGACGTCTGAATTATCTGGGATGGCTCGGGTCCGAAGCAATCCCGGTTTGTTCCCACGAGGCAAGAATCAGGAGCCACCCCTGAACACCCCCATCCCCGATGATCTGTGGCTCTGATAAGAGCGTGTTTCTTTATTGCTTGGGGCACAACGGGCGTTATTGCTCCCGGCCCCTGCCCCCCCCCCCTACAACGTCACGCCCCCCCTCCCCCCAGTGCGCCCCGTGCACTGCCGCCATGCGCATCTGGATCCGCATAGGCATCCGCATAGGAATCCGCATAGGGGTCTGGTCCGTCGTCATCGACGTCGACGTCGTCGTCGTCGTCGTCGTCGTCGTCGTCGTTCGTCGCTCGTCGCTCGTCGCTTGTCGCTCATCGTCGTCGTGCGCGAGGGCGCGGCTGGAGCTTGTTCTGTTTCCTATCCCAAACCGATGACGGCCGTCATCCGGGGCGGGGGGCCGATGGCGTCACGTTTCGCTTGGAATGGCCGAGGTCGGGTAGCATCGACATGTCGGTGGCGATCTGCACCACATCGCCTGTGTACACCACAGTGCCTGCGTGCACCAAAGCGCCTGTGCTGTGTACACCACACCGCCTATGTACACCACAGCAGCCGCGTGCAACACAGCGCCAGTGTGTGCCACAGTGCCTGCGGGCACCACAGCGCGTGTGTACACCACAGCGCTTGAATACACAAAATCAGCCGTGTGCAACACAGCACCAGTGTACGACACAATGCCTGCGTGCCTTGCAGCGCCTGTGTACACCACGGCGCCTGTTTGCCCCACAGCAGCCGTGTGCAACATAACACCACAATTGCATATATATATATATAATGTTAGCAGGAATCCTTATGACGAAATGAAGCCCCTGTGGATTCCACAGAAAACAAGTGTTTGATATAAGATTTGGACAAGGATCCTTATGGAACAAGGAGCGCCGCTGGAATCCACGATTCCTCCCAAGTCCTCCCGCATCATCCTAACTCCTCCCATTTGCGTCCAGGAGGCTCCAGCAGAATGAGCCGCCCGAGAACCAAGTGGACTGATTCAATCGACCATTTTGCGGTGCACGCTGAGATGCCTACGTGCGCTGCAGCGCCGACCCGCATGGCAGGGGGAAAGGATGAGGGAGGAGGAGGAGGAGGAGGAGGAGAAGGAGGAGAAGGAGGAGTAATAAGAACACGCCGCATTTTATTATAAGCACTTCCCTGGCGTGGTGTTTAGCTTGCCGCAGCAGATCCTCACCTACATGCTCCTTCTTCCTGTCCTGTGCACGCAGGCGCTGTGGTCTACACCAGCGCTGCGTTGCACGCGGTTGCTGTGGTGTAGACAGGCGCTGTTGTGTGCACAGGCGGTGCGGTGCAAGCAAGCATTGTGGTGTGCACAGGCGCTGTGTTGCACATGGTTGCTGCGGTGTACACTTGGCGCTGTGGCGCACGCGTTGATTCATTTGTGGTTTACACAGGCGCTGCGTTGCACACGGCTGTTGCGTTGTACGCAGGCTTTGTGGTGTATGCGCGCGCTGTGGTGCACGCGAGCATTGTGGTGTACGCAGGCCCTGTGGGGCAGATCGCCACCAACGTGGCCTCGGTCATCCTTGGGCCTATGGTCTCGGTCATCCAACGCCCACTTGGCCTCGGTCATCCTTGGGCATATGGCGCGGGACGTGACGTCACCTGGGGGGGGGCGATGACGGCCGCTACCCAGGAACATGCAAAACAAATCTTCCGCGGTGCCGGAGCCACACGGCGAGGGTGGGAGGGGGGGGGCGTTACGTTACACCCCCCCTAAACGCCCGCGATCGCCGAAGGTACAGAAACGCGCTCCCAAGGGTTATGTCCGTCCTCTTGCCTGGCCTCGGCGCACGGGGCTCGGCGGCGCGCCTCGGGGGGCGGGTGAGAAGGAGCAGGCCTTCTCAGGAGGCTCGGAAGGCGTCGGGCCTTCTGAGAAGTGCTCTGAGCCTCCCCCGAGGACACCGACCAGGCCAGGCAAGCGAGCACGACCGTTCTTTGTGGTGGACGGGTAGACAGCCCCCATGAGGGGAAGTGGATTTGCCACGGGGGCGGGGGACAAAAAAAAAGCCTCCCCCAGAGACGCAGGACGTTTCTCACAGGGCCGTGGGGCGTCTGAGAAGCCCCGCCGCCTTCCGAGAAGGCCTCCCCTTTCTCACGTCCCCCCCTCGCTCGCCGCCGAAGGGTGGCTCGCCAGGCACGCCCCGCTGCTGCTTGGGTTGCGGCGACGGAGAACGGCTATGCGGCCGCGGCTGCCAGGCGCGCCAGCCTCGTGCAGGCGAGGCGGCCGTGTGGCGTCACATGTCGCATGCTTGCTTGAGTTGTCCTTGCCCGCATCCCGTGTCCCAGCCTTTCCCCCGCGTTATCCGTCCTTTGGTCGCTCTCTCTCGCTCTCTCTTCTCTCGCTCTCTGTCTCTCTCTCTCTCTCTCTCTCTCTCTCTCTTTCTCTTTATAATGTTCTTCTGTTTTTGTTTGTCATCTATGCCTCTCGCTCTGTCTCTCGATCTCTCTCTCTCTCTCTCCCTCTCTCTTTCTCTACACCTACGTTTCTGTATCATGCGGAATACATCCACATATGCACACACCTGTACTTATCGCCAGCCTTCTCTCGCCTTGTCCCCGTAGCCGTGCATCGGAGATTTGGGGTGAGACCAACTGGGCAGTCGGTTCGTGCCGTGACGGTTCGATATCCGTCCTCATCTTCCTTCTTCTCATCTTCCTCTGGCCTTCGTCCTCATCAACTACATGTGCCTGGAGCTGCGGGCTCCGTCTTCTCGTTCCGAGAGCGGCACCGCCTACCTCATCGACAAGAAGGCCCCCAGCGTTGCGAAGCACCGTTCGATGAAAAACCTGTGTGCGGCAGCCTGCCGCTCGGAGCCGCGTCGCATGGAGGCCGCCTGCGTGCGCATCCATGCCCCTCTTCCTCTGGCCCGAGACACCCGCCCCCGAAGCGCGGAGGACCGAGAAGGAGTGGGGGAGGGAAGAGGAGCGAACAAAAAAAAAAAAACATGGCCCAATGGAAGAGCAGCGAAGAAGAGGGAGTACGGCGGCGGCGGCGGGCTCTCAGCGGTCGTCGGTGCGACGGTGGCGGGAGTCGAGGCCAGACTCTCGCGGCCTATGCGGGCCAGCTCGACGAGATTCGTCCTGTCCCCAATTATGATTCACGTCGAGGTCGCTCGCAGCCCACGGGGCCGCATGCGAGCGGCGCCTGTGGCGGGCTTGAGGGGCGATGGAGGAGGGAGGAGGGCGAGCGAGGTGCAGCCGCGCAGCCTCCCAGGGTCGTGGGGCGAGGGGCCGGCCCACGGAGAGCAGGCGGGGGACGCGAGCTCGCCGGGCAGAGCGTGCGTGAAGGCGTTCTGAGCTCGCTTGGAGGTCAGGGCGAGGCGAGGCGGGGGGGGGGCGAACACGAGGGTCACCACTTACCAAAACACCCCAACCCAACCCGAAGGCCTCGATTTGCACTCCATTTCCAATAGGGGGGGGGGGGTCGGGGAACATGGAGCACACGCACATGTAGCCGGTCCCCCCCCAACCCGAAATTCGGGTCTTCGGGTTGGGTTGGGGTGGTCTGGTAGGCACTCAGAGGGGCCCAACGAGTTTTCAATGTGCTGCCTATCGAAGCAGGCTTCCCACACGACGGAGTCGGGCGACCAGGTTTCACGAGGCCGCCACCACAACACCTTTGTCCATCCAGAACGCGGACCATCGCCTGATCGCCAACGCGTTCCGCATCAGGTGGGGACCGATCGTGGGCCCGATCATTACCGATAGCCAGCGCGGTTTCATCCAAGGGCGGCCAATGCTCTCAAGAATGTGGTTGAGTTGGAGCACGCAGCGATTTGCGCCTCGCTGGACATCGACGATTCCACGATCGTGCTGTTCGGCTTCGAGTTTGAGCGCAAAGCCGTCCGCGCCGTTGTGCCTGGGCCAGGGGCTTGTCAGCCCCCAAACTTCCATGATGGTGACGCGTTCGGCCTCACCCAGCGCCTACGCCCGCTCAGAGAGACATGCAGCGCAGCTATGCTCATGACGCATATGTGGGAAGCTCACCACGACTGGGACACCCTTTGGGAACGACAGCAGTCGGAACTCCATGGTCGCGCTTCCTACACCGGATTCCCGACTCGGGCTGCCAGGTGGCACGCGTGGTGCCGAGCACACGCTCCGACAGTTGTGCTCAAACCAGTTTCTGAAGCACCAGCGGTTGGGGTTACGGCTGCGCGGCTCAGGGCAGACCCTGCCGGGGCGCGAGCTGGCTCTCTCGTGCAAGTACCTGACGACGAAGCTCAAAGGATGCACCGAGCATTGGTGTATCTCACAGCTGCTGCATCGACTAGTCTTCGACAGGACGTCAAAGGCCATCCTCAAAAATGTGACCAATTGCGCCGGCTCGCCCCCCCGCGGGTGCGCGCCACGGTATTGAGCACGTTTGTCACCTGATGGTTCACGGAAAGGTTTGTGCGACCTCATCGGGAGAGACGGAGGCATTGCGTTTGTGGTCTTCACCACAAGCATGCGATTTGATCCCTAGCAACGCCCCTAGGAGGCGACGACCTACGATCTACGGCAACAACAATGTATGTGACAGATCGCACCACCAATCACATCCAGCACACGAGGGGAGCATCGATCAACTACGTGCGCCATTTTTTAAACAAGATGCTGTACGCGACGACTCCGGGTTTCGTGTTTGTTGCCGGGGAGCGCGGACATTTTATTGAATTGTCCCCCCAATTGTGTGCAATCATGTTCTGGTGTTCTCGCTGAAGGCGACGCCTCCAATCTTTCTGAGGTTCTTGAATTATTCTCTTGGTTGGCTTGCCGCTGCAGGAGCAAATCTCTGGCGACGCATCGCCACCAGTAGTTTGGACCTCGTTGACTTCAGCAGCGCCATGGTGACCAAAGCGCCTCGGATCAGGGGCGCCGCGCGCAGCAACGGCGCTACCTGAAGCGACCCAGAGTTGCAGCACCAGCGCACCAAGCAGCATCCCCAGTAGCTGCGGCGCTTCTACGACGTCGTCGGCGACAGCCACGGCCACTTCTTACGTAGACGAAGTGCTTTTGGACTCAAGTCAGTCCCGCCTCCCAGGGTGGAATGCAGAACGTACCATTTTTGCGGGGTGCCTTGGATCTGCCAGTGCCCCTCCGCCATGTGATAGCGCATGGGCCGGCGTGTCGAACATCGCGAACAAGCGGGTACAGCGCAGCCAGCGCGAGCACCACGGTTGGGACCATCAGAGCCACTCGCCACAGCAGCACCAGTGCCATCAACAGCGCCATTATGACCATTGTGATCAGCACAACGGTCGCCGGCAGCATGGCCGTGAGCGGGGCGACGTGCAAACCGCCGGCACTCCGACCCCCGGCATCCAGCATCCGACTTTGCACTTCCGCCTCCACCTCCACCAACTCAGCACCCTTCAGCATCCAGCATCCACCATCCGACTTCCCATTCTCACGTCATTCTGTCGAGCCTGGGCCTCCAGCAGCTCAGCATTCCTACGTCCAGCATCCAGCATCCGTCAATCCACTCCCACATCCACCCATGGACCTCCGGCCCCCACCAGCTCAACATCCCGACCCCGAGCATCTGGCATCTGACTTCGGCGCCCACCCCATCTATCGACCTCCTGCCTCTTCCAGCTCAGCACTCCGACCTGCATCATCCGCCCGACGGTCGCGGGCAACGCAACCGAACCGCCCGCATTCCGACCCCCGGCATCCAGCATCCGAGCTTCTTTTCCCGCCTCCACCCATCGACCTCCAGCCGCCGCCAACTCATCACTCCGACTTCCAGCATCCAACATCCGACTTCCCACCCTCACTTCCGCCTATCGACCAGCTTCCCTACGTCCAGCATCCAGCACCTGACCATCCACTTCCACCTCCACCTATCGAGACCCAGCTCCCGCCAGCCCAACATTCCGACCTCAAGCATCCAGCATCTGACTTCGACTTCCTCCCCCGCCCATCGACCTCGTGCCTCTTCCAGCTCAGCATTCCGACATTCAGCATCCGCCCGACGATCGCCGGCAACGCGACCGTAGGAAGGACGACGTGCGAACCGCCCTCCATCTGTGCAAGGTTGGCATTCAGTCAAATCGTGTGGCCAAACGAGGGCGGACAAATCCTGCCCCCCTTACAGGACCTTCAAACAGCACCGGTGCCAGCACCGACTCCGGCATCGGTGCCAGCTCCGAGGGTGCCAGCTTCTCCCCGAGCTACGAGTACACCTGCTCTGGCGTCCAGGCGAGGGCCGCGAGCAACACAGCTGGGAGTGCCACGCGTGAGAGCAACAACGCGGGCGCCACGAGCAGCAGCACCACGGGCTCCGGCAGCCCGTCTTCCCATCTCGGACATCCGCTTCTATCTTTCCGCATGTCTCGTACCTCTTGGACTTTGTTCTCGCGGCTCTTGGGCCCCATCCTCCCATCTCCGGCTCCAGCTTCACATCAACCTGGCTGAGCAGCGCGACGGCGACGAACACCACGACGCGCCGCTGCAGGACGGCGTCCAGCAGCAGCAGCAGCAGCAGCAGCAGCAGCAGCATCAGCAGCAGCGCCGACGAGCGGGGCAGACAGCACCGTAGCACCCCGCTATTGCGGATAAGAGTGAGGGGGCGGGCGCGGGCGACGCGGGCGTCGAGCTGGCGGACCGCGTGGCCCTCACGAATGCAAAAGAAGCCTGGAACGAATGCAAAAGAAGCCCGCCGCAGGCGCCGAGCATTTTTGGTGGGTCGCGGGGTGTGTCGCGGGTGGGTCGCGGGTGGGTCGCAGTTGGTCGCGGGTGGGTCGCGGGGTGGGTCGCGGGTGGGTCGCGGGGGGGGTCGCGGTCGGTTGGGTCTCGGGGTGGGTCGCCGGTGGGTCGCGGGTGGGTCGCCGATGCAAAAGAAACCCGCCGCAGGCACCGAAGTTTGGGCGTGTTCAGTGAACGTAGTTTGTGTCGTGGGTGGGTCGCGGGCTCTCCACCTCCACCTGGAAGGAATTCAAAAACAGCTCGCCGCAGGCGCCGAAAATTTGATTTGTACACTGAACGCGGTTTGGGTCGCGGGTGGGTCGCAGGTTCTCCACCTGGAACGACTTGGAAAGAATACAAAAGAAACCCGCCGCAGGCGCCGGAAATTTTGGGTGGGTCGCGGGGTGGGTCGCGGGTGGGTCGCGGGTGAGTCGCGGTGGGTCGCGGGTGGGTCGAGTCTCCGAGCCTCCCGGCGCCCTACGTCCAGCAGCGCCCGCCACGACCAGCGATCCCAGCCAGCGCCGCAGGGCTGGGCAGGCTGGGGCGAGTGGCGAGAGAGACACACAGCGAAAGAACGTGTGCACAATCTGAGTCGATTTCCGGTTGTCCTTCCGACGATCCCGTGCGGCCCGATGCTTGTATGGCTCTGCTGGGCGCCGCGGCACAGCAGATCCGATTCGATTTTCTGCCCCGTGGCGATGCAGCCCGATCCGACGCACATTCTGACCCGATAGAGTCGGACCGAGGTATAAGATCGAGCTCACTTTGGGGAGGATGCCCTGATGTTCTTCGTGCTTGTTAACTGTTGCTGTGCATCCTGGGGGTGGGCACCTCCGAGTGATCTTATAGTGTGGGGTGTTTTGGCCGGCGGAGGGTCTCATGTTCTCGAAGGATGCTCTTCTGTCATAGGTCCGACCGCATCGACTCCACGCAAGAGTGACCCTTCGCCGGAGTGACCTTTGGTGCGGGCTCATCGGGGTCCCCCCGATCGCTGAGCGCGATACGATAGCCGCTGCTTGCGCGCTTGGATTTGGCCACCTTGCGCCCCCTTGGTCCGCGCACCAGAGGTCACCCTTGCCTAGGGTCAAGTCGGGCCAATCCCTCTACAGGAGGAATCTTCACAACTAGTCAAACAATATTATGGGGACGATGTTTGAGTATTTTTGATTATTTTGGGGTTTTGAGTATGTTTTATTTGTCCTCCAAAATCCGCCTGTAGGGGGACATGCCCGACCTAAGCCTAGAATCACTCTTGCATGCAGCCGACTCCCGATTGATCCCGAGGGGAAACGGAGCTTACCGCCACCGAGAGCCCACGGGTAGTTGGTTTCTCCGAAGGGCTTAGGCGACCCGTTTTCCTCCTCCTCCTTCTCCGCCTGCTCCTCCTCCTCCTCCCCCTTCGCCTCCTCCTCCTCCATCTCCTCCTCCATCTCCTCCTCCTCCATCTCCTCCTCCCCCTATCTCCTCCTCCCCCTATCTCCTCCCCCTCCTCCTCGGGTCCGCCCACGGCCCCAGGGGGAAACCGCGCCCCGCGCAACGGAGGTCACTCTCTTGCCCAGGGCCACTCTCTGCGCGCAGCCGGCTGCCGAGGGACCCCCGCGGGGGAGACCGAGCCCACCGCCACCGCGCCCCCGTCAGCAGATCCCCGACGCCCCCCGGGGGCGGCGGCTCGCCCGAGCAGCGCCCGACACCGCGCGACACTCGGGCGCGCCGTCGCCCAGAGCGCCGGATGCCCGGCCGGAGGGCCTCTTCGAAGGGCTCGGGCGACGCGTCCTCCTGCTCCTCCTGCCCTCCTCCTCCCTCTCCTCCTCCTCCTCCTCCTCCTCCTCCTCCTCCTCCTTCTCCTCCTCCTCCTCCTCCTCCTCGTCGGGTCGCCTACGGCCCCGGGGGAAACCGTGCACCCCGGCCCCTCCCCCGAGGCTTGGCATCGCTCGGACGTGTGCATGTCTCTCTCGGCGAGGACCATCGAGGAGCATCCTGGATCCTCGAGCACCCGAAAAAAGCACGCACGGGCCCGACATGTGCACAGGGGATGGACGTCCAGGCGACGGCAAGGATGGGGGTTCTTGGTGGCCCCGGACTGCGCAGTCAACGCGCCTAGTGAGGACGCGCACCTTCATGTAGGGTGCCCTTGCGTCCTTGCATCTGCGGCCCGTCCTTTTGGCCGTTTTCACAGGTCGCCCGCAGCCCAACAAAAATCCAACTGCGGCCTGAAGGTGTCCTGCGTCCATACCGCCCGTCCTGTAGTACACGTTCTTATTGCACTTCTCCTCTGATTGACCCTTCCCTTCGAAATCGACTCCGTGCCGCTGCAGCCCGATCCGACGCACATGCCGATGCGATCCGACTCCTCGATTCGATGCTGATCGATCCTGATCTCGAGAGGGGTTCGAGGTCTGACAGAGCGAAGACGAAGAGGTGGAGGAGGAGGAGGAGGAGGAGGAAAGCGCAGTCTTCATGTCTGGCCAGAGGAGGAGGAGGGAGGATCGAGACTGGAGGATGGAGGAGCAGGAGGGCCCAGGATCGAGAATCGGAGCGGAGGAGGCGGAAGCGAGGATCTCGAGCGATGCTGCGCTTCCCCTCCGCAGCCGTGCGCAGAGGTGCCCGTGCCCCGCGGGCTTCCAGTGGCCCTCGCAGAGCGGGCTGCCCTGCCGCCGCGGAGGGGCAGCGCCGGCGCCGCGGGCTTCCAGCCGCCGGGCCGCGGGGCGCTTGCGAGGAGGATCGGTTGGATTCTGTGGTAACTCATGGGAGTCCCCAAACGTGGTGGTGACAACACCTGGCGGTGAGTCTCGGGCGATTTGGTGTCACCACCCGGTTTGGGGACTCGTGCGATTTTCCGAGGATGTCCCGAACGTTGGTGGGTCCAGGAGTCACAAAACCCGGCGGTGACCCCGCGTCCCCAAACCCAGCGGTGACCTTTTTGGGGATTCCAGGTCGCCACCTGGTATCTCACCACCCGGTTTGGGGGTTCCCAAAATTCATGGGAGTCTCTTATGCCCTTCGCAGACCCCCTCTGGATACGGTGGGGAGCTTTTCGCTAGTCTCGGCCTCCATGGGGCTCTTGCAGGGCCCTTTTGGACCGTCAAAATCACGGCTCTGGACGAACCAAACCGGTCCTGGGGACGGGGCCCAGACCTCTTGGAGCCGAGGTTGTGAACCAAAAAGCACGACGTGGGGGGTCTGAGTCTCCATTCCATCTTTGGCGCCGATTCGCGTCGGCAAGCGTCTGGATGTGCACACATCCTTCCTCAAAATCAGACGCAAGTTTTTCCTGCGACGTGGCGGCGCCCCAGGACCCCAACATGTCAATAGTCACGCCGACAGTGGCGACTGCAGACACGCACAAAAAAGACTTACCCCGCGGGCCGCGTTTCGCGAGCTGATCAACATTGAAAACTTGCGTTTGCTCTGCTAGTTCGGTCACACACGGCTGACTTCGAGGTCGAAAGGGGCTCGGTGGTTCCGTAGGCTCGCATGCGTTCGTTTTGCCCTCCTGGTAGCGAGCTTTTTCTGGGATCCTTCGGTTTTTTTCGGCCGTCCCTCCGGATCTCACGGCTCGGCTTGGAGACAAAGGTGTTCCGTTCCTGATGTGTCGTTCTTATTTCTGCAGCCCGATCGTCGGGGCAAGTAGCCCAGGGGGGGGGCAGTACATGTATCCAGGGGCGCCGATGGGCCATGTCTTCGGCGAGGCTCCCCGACGAATGAGTGCGTGAGGTGCCTGCCCCTGCAGGCCACTCGCCCCTTTATCGTCACGCCTGGCCAGGGCCATCTCTGGCCCCAGGAGGGCAGAACCCTCGAGGCTTCGGCCGGGAGAGGGCGTGCACACCCCTGCCAGGGCGAAGGCTGGCCCGGGCCAGGCACGGAGGTGCGGGCCGAGGGTCGATAGGCGAGGCTCGGGTGGAGGGTTCCTCCGAAGGGCTCAGGCGACCCCTCCTCCTTCTCCTCCTCCTCCTCCTCCTCCTCCTCCATCTCCATCTCCGCCTGCTCCTCCTCCTCCTCCTCCTCCTCCTCCTCCTCCTCCTCCTCCTCCATCTCCTCCTCCATCTCCTCCTCCTCCCCTCTCCCTCCATCATCTCCTCCTCCCCCTCCCCCTCCTCCTACTCCTTCTCCTGCTCTTCCTCCTCCTCCTCCTCCTCCTTCTCCTCCTCCTCCTCCTCCTCCTCCTCCTCCTCCTTCTCGGGTCGCCTACGGCCCCGGGGGAAACCGTGCAGGCTCGGAGCCCGTGGGCGGAGGCTCCTGGACGGCGCCGGCCCTCTGGAGGCCTCCCGGGGCCTCTGGGGGGCCTCGGCCCTCCGCCTCCCTGCCGCCCTTCTTCCCCTATGCAGCGCCTGCACTCCTCGGCATCGCTCGGGCGTGTGCGTTTTTTTTCCTCGGCGAGGGCCATCGAGGAGCATTCTTGATCACTTGGCGAAAGGAACGCGCACGAGACCGAAAAGAGCACAGGGAATGGGCGTCCGAGCGATGGCCAGCTGTGCAGCGCCTGCACTCGGGGTCTTTCTTGCTGGTGCGGCCGAGGCGCTGGCTGGGCATGCCGAGGTTTCGGCTGGTGCCCCGCTGGGGGGCACTCGTGGGCGCCTCGCGGGTGCCCCGCGTCGGGAGGAGGTGCCGAGGCTGCGCACGGTGCCCGCCCGTGGGCGCCTCGCGGGCGGCCGCACAGCTTGCACCGGATAGCCTCCAGCACGTGGCTTGTGCTGCACGGCTTTCACCACGCCGCATCGCCGACACCACATTTTGTTGTTTCGTCGGTTCCTCGAGGGCGCGAAGTTATTCGCGCTTCGCGCTTCGCGGTCCTCGTTCCTTCTCCCCCTCCTCCTCGTCCTCCTATTCTCCCTTTGGGAGGGCGGCGCGAGAGCGCGAAGTTATTCGCGCTTCGCGCTTCGCGCAGCGCGAAGCGCGAAGTTGGGAGCCCTAGTTTCATCGGTTCCTCGACCACATAGCTCACACCACATGGCTCTGACACCACGCGCGTGTCACCGCACAGGCTACAGTGCCCAGCCTGCACAGCCTTGCTCGCACCGCATGGCTTGCTCCACGTAGCTTCCCCCGCATAGCTTCCACAACATAGCTTCCACCACATAGCTTGCGCGATATGTGTATATGTATATATATATATATGTATATATATATATATATAGAGAGAGCTGCTTGTATATTAATATGAGCTTGCAGACGGGGGGCCTTGCTGGTCCCACAAAGGTACTGGGCCCTGTTCCCGGTCCCGCCGCCCTCGGGCCACCCGTCGTCGCCCGTCGCCGCCGCCCGTCGCCGCACTACGTTGGCCACGAGCTTGCTCGCGCGAGGCTTGCAGCTGGGACTGTGCGCCGGTCTGGTCGGCTTGTGGCCGCCCGCCGCCGTCCGTCGCCCCAGCAGTTTGGTGACGGCGCTGTTTGTGCGAGTCTCGCACTTTGCATTGCTTTGCGTGTCTTGGCACTCCTTGTTTGCAAAGCGTTGCATCGATTTGCATTGCATTGCATTGCTTCGTTTTGCGTTACAGGTGTCTGCATTGCTTTGCATGTCTTCGCGCTGCTTTGCATTTCTTTGGATTGCTTCGAGCTGTTTCGCAGTGCTTTGCAATGTATTCTCGTTTTTTTTTTTTTTTTTTTTTTCCCCCCCCCCTTTTTTTTATTATTTATTTTAAGAAAAAAATAGGTTCTACCACACTCCCCCTCCCAGACTTACCGAGTCCCCGGGAACCGATGCAAAAGACACATGGTTCTGACCCAAGCTCCATCCTACCCGTGAATTCATACTATCCCAGCCAAACCGGTATCGGCCCCCCTCGGATCCCTGGCACAAACATACTATGCGCGCGCATCCGTTCATCAACAATCACAAGTTTTCAAGAATCCCTGGCAAAACATGGGACGAAGTGCGCACGCGCGCGTCGTCGCGCTCGCATGCCGAAATCCTTCAAAAACCTTCGGTTCCGGACGGATTTCAAAATCGAGTGCCCAAAACGCATTTGATCAAAAGCACCATGTTTCGCAACACGGGTTCCCCCAAAATACTTACGCGCGTCTCTGCGAATCCTTAAGACAACCATCGGTTTTTCAACATGTTCATAACATGCTACCCAACGGGCCTCTGGCGCCGCATGTCGAACGCCCTTGCGCGCGGGCTGGGACAGCACGATCCGTGCCAATACCATGCGGGCCACTCTCGCGCGTCTGCCGCGCGCGCATTTCGAGCTCCTTCCAAAACCTTGATCACCGACGCGAAGACGCCGTCATCTTCGTCGGCGTGATCAGCATCGGAGCCGTCACTGGCTGCCCCGTCGTCGCTGTTAGCATCGCCACAAGCATCGCTTCTATCATCATCGTGTCTGCCGTTGTCGACGTTGCCATGATACCGCGCCCCTCCAAGTCGCCGGCTCGCATTGAAGTGCCCGCTGGGATGAGCCGAGCGGTCAGCGCCACAGCGTTCGCGTCGTTCGCGCCAAACTAGTTGGCCGCTGCCCGCGCGAGCATGCGCGAGCTAGCGCGGACGCAAAGATGCACCAGCCAACACCCAGCACTCACCGCAGTCGCTTCCGCATGGCTGTTGCAAACCAAGTTGCGGGTGGGTGGGTGGGACGACTGCGCGAGCAGTGAAGTTGGCAACCTCAATTTCGGCAAGTGAATTCTTTGCTAGAAATAGAATAGACTCTCCCCCCCCCCGGCGTTATCCCCCCCTTTCGGGTATGCAAATCATATATGATTCTGACCACATGTCGATCCTAAATATGAATTTACATTATCCCAGAGGGGCCGGGACCGGCCCCCCTGAGGTTTCCCTTGGAAAAAATACGTGGGGACATCTTTTCTTCTAACGTAGCATTTGTTTATTAATCCCTTGCAAAAAAAAACGAAGTGCACCCACGCGCGCCGGCGCGCGCGCATGCCGAAATCGTTCAAAAACTCTCGGTGCCGGAAGGATTTCGCAATCGAGTTTCCAAACAAACATACAAAAACATAGGGTTTCGCAACACTGATTTGCTAAAAAAACTTACGCGCGAGCTCTTGCGAAATCTTAAGGAAACCATCGGATTTCAATATTTTCACAACATGCTACCAAACGGGTTTCGCGCGCGCATGTCGAAATCTGTCGAACGCCCTTGCGCGTGTGCCGTCGCGAGAATCCTTTTGCAAAAAGCGGGACGAAGTGCAGACGCGCGCGTCGTCGCGCGCGTATGCCGAAATCCTTCAAAACCCATCGGTTTCGGACGGGTTTCAAAATCGTGTGTCCAAAATACGTTCAAAAACAGAAGGTTCTGCAACACGGATGTTCAACAAAAGCGTGCGCGCGCGCTCTTGCGTCGTCGTCATCGTCGTCGTCGTCGTCGCCGTCCTCCCTCCTCCCGCGTCGTCGTCGTCGTCGCCTACGTCGTTCTGTCTCCCCTCGTGTTCGTCGTCGTCGTCCTCTTTGGCATCGTGGTTGTTTCCGTCGTCGTTGTCGCCGTGGTCGTCCTTCCTCCTCCTCCCTCGTCGTCGTCGTCGTCCGTCGTCGGCGTCTCGTCGTCGTCCCTCCTATTTCGTCGCCGTCGTCGTCGTCGTCGTCCTCCCTCCTCCCTCGTCGTTGTCGTCGTCGGCGTCGCCGTCCTCCCTCCTTCTTCGTCGTTCGCGTCGTCGCCGTCCTCTCTCCTCCCTCGTCGTCGTCGTCGTTGTCGCCGTCGTCGTGCTCCCTCCCCGCTTGTCGTCGTCGTCGTCTTCGTTGGCGACGTCGTCGTCGTCGGCGTCGGCGTCGGC